CAGAACCGACTTCACGGCACATAACAACAGCAACGAGAGGAACACTTGTGTTCATGAGGAACCTGTACATACACAAAAGCAGTTGTTAGAACAAGGAGATCTGAATGGCTTAAAATCAGGAAATGTGTGTACCAGAGTTGTATCCTTTCACCATACTTACTCAATCTGTATGTTTAATAATAATCCCAGATACTGGATTATATGAAGAAGAACGTGACCTCAAGATTGGAGGAAGAGTCATTAACAACCTCTGATATGTAAATGATACAACCTTGCTTGCTGAAAGCAAAGAGGACTTAAAATACTTACTAATGAAGATCAAAGACCACAGCCTTCATATGGGTTGCATCTAAATCTAAAGAAAACAAAACTCCTCACAAGTGGACCAATAAATAATATAAATGGAGAAAAGATTGAAGTTGTCTAAGACTTTATGTTTCTTAGATCCAAAATCAACACTCATGTACGCAACAGTCAGGAAATCAAATGGCATACTGCATTAGGAAAATCTGCTGCAAAAACCCTCTTTAATAGTCAGTTTGAGAACTAATGTGCATTTGACCCAAGTCATGGCATTCTCAATAACCTCATATGCATGTGATAGTTGGACAATGAATAAGGAAGACAACCAGCCATGAGGAAGGCATGGGAAACAAGGGATAATCATACACTCTCCTAGCTGCCAACCTCCAGCATGAGTCTTGTGTCTCCAGGTTGCTGTTAATCAATAGCCACTCTTAAAAGCTCAAGATGGCCATGCTATGGCAAACAAGGTCAGCACACCCATCTCTCTCCTCTCTCGCAGTTCTGACTCAGCTTTCTCTCCAAGTCAGCATTTAATTCACCTTTCTATCCTTTCCTCTGAAGCTCAGTGTTCCAGAATTACCATCCATACCTATTTCACTTGGTCTGGAGCTCTGGTAGCTGCAAACCTCAAGGTCAGCAGTTCGAAACTACCAGCCATTCCATGGGAGAAAGATGAGGCTTTCTACTCCCATAAAGATTTATAGCCTTGGAGACCCTGTACAGGGTCGTTATGAGTTGGCACCAACTCCAGGGCACACCACCACACCGGTTTCCTTGGTGAAGAAGGTCTGCTCAGCCCATCTCCCTCCTTGTTTCTAAAGACAACTTGTATTATTGTTATTATTATTAAGATATTTTACTGTGATTTTGATGGTAATTTAATTAGGTTCCCATTTAATAATTTTTACACAATTTGTTCAGTGACATTTGTTACATTTTTCAGTGTGGCAGCTCTTTTATTAATTCATTATGGTTGTTCTGTTTCAAATAATCTAGATGTGCTACTTATTGTACCATTTCGTGTGCAACACTGCATTAAACTAATATATTCAAGTAATATGTTTACAAACCCTATTATAAAATACCCTTAGTTTTGCCTTATGATGCTTGATTAAAACTATAGCTAAGAGTTTTAAATAATTTGTTGAAGATCACAGTCTTAGAAAAGTGCAAAACTTATAAGCAATTTTATAAGTAGAAATTCTACTATTAGATATATATAGTTCAAAGATTACTGGTTAAAATATTTCCATAGTTGCCATTTGCATATCATAGACGCATTGAGCATATATCCTGAACATTTCATAGAAAAGAGGGTTTTTGTATGTATACATTTATATTATAAGAAGAAATGTATTCTGCATGGATGTGAACTGTTCAGGATGTAACTGATAGTTGACTATCTTAGTTTCCTAGTATTGCTGTAGCAGAAATACCACAAGTCAGTGACTTTAAAGAAAAACAAGTCATTTTCTCACAGTTTTGGATGCTAAAAGTTCAAATCAGTTTCTCCCATGTTGATTCCCTGTCAGTAGCCCAGGGCCTCCTTTGGGTCTTTGATGACCTTCACATGACATCTATCTTCCCAAATATGTGCTCCCTTCTGTGTCTAATCTGCCTTTTTTTTATAATTCAGAAGTGAATAGATTTAGGATATGCTACATTCTTCATTTATCATGATGCTATTTCTTGGTCCTGTGGTGAGGACCACTTCTTTTCATTGAGGTACAACACATACTGAAGATTGTGGTTTTATATCTTCATCAGTAAGTATTTAAAGTCCTCTTCAAATATTGTATCATCTGCCGAACGTCATGATAAATGGAGAAAAGATTGAATTTGTCAAAGAAAGTGTTCAAGAGTAAAGATGTCAGTTTTAGGACTAAAGTGTGCCTAACCCAAGCCATGATATTTTCAATTGCTTCACATACATGTAGAAGTTAGACAGTATAAGGAAGACCCTAGAAGAATTGATACATTTGAGTTATAGTATTGGAAAACAATATTGAAAGTACCATGGACTGCCAGAAAATCAAACAAATCTGTGTTGGAAGTACAGTCAAAAGAATGTTCCTAAGGAGCCAGGGTGGTGAGACTTGTCTCTCATACTTTAGACATATTATAGGAGGAACTAATCCCGGGAGAAGGACATCATGCTTGGTAAAGTGGAGGATCAGTCAAAAAAAGGAAGACTCACAAGGAAATTGATTGACACAGTAGCAGCAGCAATGGGCTCAAATGTAAAAACAATTGTGAGGATGGCACAGGACCAGACAGCATTTTGTTCTGTCGTGCATAAGGTCGATACGAGTTGGGGCTGACATGATGACACCTGACAACACCACACTGGTATGGCCTCATTAACATAGCAAAGAAAACCCTTTTTCCAGATAGTATTTCATGCACAGGAATATAGGATAAGATTCCAACATGTAAGTATATTTGGAATATAAGCTTCAATCCATAACAGGCTGTAAGTGATATCACCTTGTAGTTCAGTTTTATAGTGTTTGTTATTCTGCACGATTTAGTGTCAGGTTCATTGTCTTCAAATATAAGAAATAAGACCAAAGTGACCTTCCACCTTTTAGTGACACAGAGTATATGACAGGAGAATTAGCACATTTCCTTGAATTCTGAAACTATGTTTTTGTGTGGTTATTAGTGTATTCTGCTGCTGCTCCTGCTGTGTGTCATCAAGTCGGTTCTGACTCATAGTGACACCATACTGGGCTTCCGAAGAGCTGATGGCGGGTTTTGAATAGTAGACTTTGAGGCTAGCAGTCCAGTGCACTTACTCTATAGCGCCACACCAGGACTCCTTCGTCTACTTGGAGTTTTCAAATCTTTTTTTTTTTTAGCTAATTTTGGTCATCATACTTTCTTAGAAAGAAAAAAAAAACCTTTTCCTTTCCATTGTCATTTAAAAATATATAATTTTTCAATTTTCTACACATCTTTAGTTATGTCTCATTTATTATGATCATTTTCCCAGAGGAGCAAACAGATGCCCAGAGAGCCTGGAGAACAGTGTCCAGTTGCCCTATGGGATGGGATGGTTTCTTAAATAAATATGTGTAGAAATTAAACTCACTTTGAAGAATGTCATACTCAGCCCAGATATACAGGTTTCTTCTTTATTTCCGAAGAAATAAAGTGTGAAAAGAAGTAAGCAAAAAGAAACCCCTTCCCACTGTCCTGAATGGCAGAGAAAAAGGTTTTGTTTTGTTTTGTTTTTCAGGGTAAACTGAAACTCAAGGGAACCAGTTTCCAGAGTGAACAACTTGGGTACAGAGAAAATTGAGGGGGTAACTCATTTGAGTAACTCATTTCTTAGTAGGGACCGAAAACTTTGAAGGAATAATGTCATTTACAGCTCAATCATCCGGAGTCAAAATCCCGGGACCCATGTCTCTGGATCCCAAGCCTGGAAGGAGGGAAACCATGGAATATTTGCAGCTGTGGTTTTGTGGGAGGGGTTAGTGTAAGTCTAACCACCGCCTATCCATCTCTGTTCTACAGCAACATGCAAAGAACAGCAAGAGTGTACTCTATCCACCCAAAAACAGAGGAGTTGGAGGCTCTGTTTGGCAAGACCACACTCCCAAATAAAATCCTTCAGATGGAACTGGCTTTGAAATTCAATGTACTGGAATCAAAAGTTAAGGTCTGATCCCCTGGCGCATGGTTGGTATCACATCCCAACAATATTCTTCTATTCTCCTGGAAATTCCTCCCCTACCCTAATAATGGGGAGTCCTGGTGTGGCAGTTCAGGATCAGTATTGGACTGGGAACCCCAAGGTTAGCAGTTCAAACCCACCAGCTGCTCCTCAGAAACCCTATACAGGATTACTATGAGTAGGAATGGATTCAACGGCATTTAACAACAACAACAACCGTAATAGTGGAGTTCTGGTGTGGCGCTGTACTGCACTGGACTGCAAGGTTGATTTGAATTACAAGGTCAATGGTTCAAACTCACTAGGTGCTCCCTGGAAAGCCTATACCAGGTCACTATAAGTCGGAACTGACTCCACAGCACTTAGCAACAACAACCCTAATAATAATGACATTTAGTTGACTGAGTACTCACTACGGTGGATTTGGTTTTGTTGTTGGTATTTGTTTTAAAGCATTCCATTTAACAGATGAAGTATATTGAGGTTCAGAGGCAAAGTGACTTTGTTGTTGTTGTTAGGTGCCATTGAGTCAGTTCTGACTCATAACAACCCTGGATGGGTTTCCAAGGAACAGCTGGTGAGTTTTAACCTCAAACCTTGAGGTTCAAACCAAACTTGTGGTCTAGTGCTTCTTCAACAGTGCCACACCAGGATTCCAAAGTGACTTGTAGCAGTTCACAAAGATAAGCCCTATGACTAGAATTAGGTGTCTCCAGGTCTTGTTTTTAACCCTTGGATGACAGAGCCCAAGCATAGGAAGTACTGTTGTCCCAACAGCATACTTCTTATGTTAGATATTCTCAAGCAAAATCCTTTAATTTGTTTAAATAAAACACTACAACAGACAAACAATGGTCCCCAGCCCCTGAGTCTGGTAAGACCCATGACATTTTTATTGAATAAACTGGACTGCTAACGAAAAGATCACCAGGTCAAACCCATCAGCTGCTCCTTGGAACCCCTATACAGGGTCCCTATGGGTTGGAAACGACTCAATGGCACTTGACGATGACAACAATTCTTCATAGTAGAAACTTTCTGAAACAATCTTCAAAAATCCTTCCGTTCAAGTTTCCTACCTCTCCCTTAATCTCTAAACTAGTTTTGCTTCTTCAGAATTCAGGAACCTTTCTCTGAGCTTCTAACACAACCTCTGAGGACAGCCCCTTTCTTTGCTTTATCCTTCTTTGGGGTTCCAGTGTTGCTTCTCACTGTCCCTCCTATTGCTCACACTCATGCTTACCTCTGCTCTCTCAGAACCCAGTGTTATGGTTACTTGAGAGGTCATAAAAGTTATAATCTGGCTGCTTTCACTCAGGGGAACTCTTTCCCAATTAATAGACCACAGTGTTTTCTTTTTCCCACACCTCCAGGTCTGCTTCAGGAATCAGTGATTTTAAATGAGAACTAAGCAGTGGCCGCAGCAGCATTCACTAAAGAAACCAAGGAAGATTATTCCAGCAAAGAAGAATATGCTCACCTCACCCAAGGCACCCACCAATCCTTATTCTTTTTTTCCTGTAACTTCAGATTTTTTATCATTCCCTTCCACCTCAGCCATTGGGCACTTCTAGTTGGGCACAGGACTCTCTCTACTTAGAGTTCCACAAGCAATGTCCAAATGCAAGATCCACAGTGGTAGAAGCTGGTAGCTTCTGTTCCTGCTTTGTTGTCTGATGCCCATGACATAGTGCAAATCATGGAACTGTATCATTTTCCTGATGAAGATGTGATGTCCAGCTGGTTTGTTGCCTGATGCCCATGACATAGCCTAAATCATGGAACTGTATCATTTTCCTGATGAAGATGTGATGTCCAGCTGGTCTTTACAGGAGCAGAAAGCCTCATCTTTCTCCCACGGAACAGCTGGTAGTTTTGAACTGCTGACCTTGGCTGCTCATGAGTTTTAAGAGCCCAGTTGCTACTCACAAAAGTATGATGTAGAACACTGTCTTTGTAAACTGTTATGCCAAATGACCATGGTGTCCTCTGAGTCTATGGTCCTAAGCCCCGAGGCACAGCAACTCATTCCCTCAAGTTTGGTAATGTTTAATTATGTTTTCTAACTTTGCCCAGAGTATGTTGTTGTTGTTAAGTGCCGTCGAGTCGGTTCCGACCCATAGCGACCCTGTACAGGGTTTCCGAGGGTGTAAATCCTTACGGGAGTAGAAAGCCTCATCTTTCTCCCGCGGAGCGGCTGGTAGTTTCGAACCGCTGACCTTAAGGTTCGCAGCCCGATTCGTAACCACTACGCTACCCACCACATTTATAGGTGTTTTGCAGCAAGGATAAGTGTCCATATGAAAATACCCTTTATATATCTGTGGGTATACTCACTATCTCCTCCATACCCTTTCAGCCTGTGTATCTATCTACATAATTACCTATTGTTGTTGTTGCTTGTTGCAGACTGTGTAAGGCTAGTCAGAGGTTCGAGGCCCTCTAGGGCCGAGTGTAACAAATGAGGCCACTGGCAGTTAATGGCAAATTAATATTCAGGTATATATATTAAATTAATACACGGAGCCTTTGACAATCCACAGATAAATGTGATATTTTCCTAAAGCCTAGACTAAAGGTTGCAAGGTTAAGCCTTTCTCCAAAAGGATTAACTAAAAATATCTTAGCTACTTCACAGCTCTTTGTTCTATAGACAAAGAACCCATCCTCCCTAATCCTTTTCCAGGTGCAGCCCATTCACTCAGGCGTCTTGAGTCCTCCTGCAGACCTGGCTCAGGAAGCCAAAGCAGCAGGACTCCGCCCAAGCTTTTGTCTTTATCTCTCACCTTCCCTCAACTATGCTCAGGGGCTATAGATATGTTAATTGGGCCTGAGAAACCAAGTTGTGGGCCTGGGATTCGAACCAGCGAAGTACGATGTAAAGTTACCTGAATGTCTGGAAAAGTACTGATGTTAGCTGTACCTTGCCTAAGTCCCTCCCAGCTTGGTGTGAAGCTCCTCCCCTGAATAAAACAGAGGCCTGGGCCTCCCCAGGTGAGCATTACTGGCTGGAAGGCATGCGGTAAAGATTGGAGGGCAGTGAGTTGCTGCCTGCAGAGGCCACGATGCCTGTACTCCCAGGCCTGCCCACCAGTGATGTATCCACCCTGGCTTTGGGGTGCCTCTTTGTCTCTCTCTTTGTCTCTTTCTGTGTATTCTTGATATATATGAATTGCCATCGGGTATCCTCTTCCTCGTGAACTGAACCCCAATGTCGAGGCGGGTCCCCGACAGTTGCTAAGTGCCATCGAGTCAATTCTGACCCATAGTGACCCTCTATAGGTTTCTGAGGAGTAGCTGATGAACTTGAACTGCCGACCTTGCAGTTCAAATGGCTTTGCAGTCTGGCACATAAATCCACAGCGCCAAACCAGGACTCCATATAGATCACTGTTATTGCTGAACTGTGTGTATAAAAATATTTACCTCTATTCTCTGTAACTCTTGCATTCCTCCCTGTCTTCCCCTACCTTCATCATTCTTCTGTCAACCTCCCTCTTTTTGTATATTGCCTTGTCACCCAAGTTAACTTCTACCCTGTGAATTCCTTCCCTCCCACCCCTGGTAACTATCAAAGAATGTTTCTCATGAAAACCATTTCTTAATTTTGTACAATAGTGGTCTCATACTTGAATTCACTCAGCATAGTGTTTTACAGACTAATCCATGTTATGAGATGTTTCACAGATTTATCATTATTCATCAGTGTTGTGTAGCATTTCATTGTGTGTATGTACCAAGGTTTCTTTATCCATTCTTCTATCAATGGACATTAAACTGTCTCGACATCTCTTTGCTATTTGTTGTTGTTAAGTGCCATCAAGTTGGTTCCAACCCATAGCAACCCTGTATAGGGTTTCCGAGGAGCAGCTGGTGAGCTTGAACCACCAACCTTGCATTTCAAATGGCTTTGCAGTCAGGCACATTAACCCACAGCGCCACACCTGGACTGCTCTTTTTGCTATAGAGAATATAGTATTTCAATGAACATTTCTTATTGCTGTTGAGTAAGTTCCAATGCATAACGACCCCGTATACAGTTTCCTAGGAGCTGCTAGCGGGTTTGAACTGCTGACCTTGTCAGCAGTCCAGTGCTTATCCAATTACACCACACCAGTCATATATCTATTTATGTCATATCTCTTATTTCTTGAGAATATTAAACTAAGTAGAGGAATTATTAGGTTATATAATATGGTGCCTTGCATTTACTTGATAAGGCTTTTCTATCCAAAGTCTTTTTAATTCCCACCAAGTGATTGAATGGGACCATGCAAATAAGGTATACAGGACTCTAAGGCTGGGATTGATTAGCCTTGTCCTCCAGCTGTGTTTAAAAGAAGCCATTTCAGAAGCAGAGAAGGAAGATCCCAGGACTATCAAGAAGGAAGAGCATGACTGGAGCGTGATATGCAGAGGTGATGACAAGAAGCATCTTGTCACGGATAGGCATGCACAGACAGAGCAACTTTGGGCTCAAGGCCTAGGGACTGAGTAAAGCTGAGTGCCTATGGGCAGAAGATTGGCTTAAAGAATGTGCCCTCTGGGCATTCACAGACTGGCTAAAAGAACTTGGTAACATGTTCTGGAGCAGGGTAGAGGCCAAGGGATCACATGACTGAATGGCCAAAACAAGAGGCATGCCTGCAGTATAGCAGACAAGAGCCATTCCTGACCAGAGAGTTGCTATGTCCTGAGTTGGTTTTGATCCTGAATTGTGCCCTATTCACTTCCCTAATAAACCCCGTAATTGTGAGTATTGTTATGAGTTCTGCAACCCCATGGCAATGGATTATCGAAGTCTTTGCAATGGATAATGTGGAGCAGAAAGTACTGTGGGAGGCATGGTTGGTGTCAGAATAGGGTAAAGACAGTTGTAGCGTGGAAGCATGTCTGACCTCTGCTTCAAAGTCAGTCTTGGGGTGATTTTGAGTTTGATTCTCTTTCCCCCTTGTGAAGCCAGGGGAAGTTAGACATGGCTTCCACATGGTTTTTACATACAGTATTTCTATTTCCAGCTTTTGAGAAAGTGTCACTGGCTAATTTTTCAAAGTAGATCACCAGGTCTTTCTTCTTAGTCAGTCTCAATCTGGAAGCTTCACTGAAACTTGTCCCGCATCATAGCAACATACAAACTTCCAATGACCCATGAAGTGCAGATATCAAACCTGGTTCTCACATGTGAAAATTCTACAAATGAACTATTCATGTGCCCAGTGGAATATTAGTCACCCCAAAGAGAAATGTAGCCCTCATAATATGCTACAAAAAGGATAAATATAATGCCATTTATATGAAATATCTAAAATTGGCAAGTGTATAGAGACCAAAGTTTATTCATGGTTTCCAGGGGCAGGAAGGAGAGAGGGGTGGGGAGTGTCATTGACTAAGTTTCTGATGAAATATTTGGAAATGGATACTGGTGATGATCATGTAACATAATGAACATAAATAACATCACTGAATTGTACATATAAAAAGTGTTTACTTGGCAAATGTTTTGTTATATATATATATGTGTCCATCAGCAGATGAATGGAAATATCAAATGTGGTATGTCCGAACAATGAAGTATTATTCAGCTATAAAGAAAATTAAAGTTCTGATATTCTATCCCATAAACTTTGAAAACATGTCAAATAAAATCAGCCAGACACAAAACTTCAATTAGTGTATGATTCCAATTTATGAAATACTTATAATAGGTAAACTCATCTAGACAAGATTAATGGGGAGTAAATCACAACCAACCAACCAAACATCTCATTAGTTACGCATCCACTGCCATGGAGTTGATTCTAGTGTATTCTGACCCTATAGAACAGAGTAGAACTGCTTATGGTTTCCGAGACTGCAAATCTTTACAGAAGCAGACAGCTTCATCTTTCTCCCGTGGAATGGCTGATGGGTTTAAACACTGACTTTGTGATTAGCAGCCCAATTGTTAAGCCTCTAGGTCACCAGGACTCCTTCCTCAATAGTTAGACCTCAAGTAAGAAACCTTACCTCAACCTAAGAATAAATGACAAAAACCAGAGCCTACACATGGTCCATTTGGCTGTGCTTGAAGGTGACTCAGGTGGCATAAATGGTTAAGTACTTGACCACTCATCATTATCAACACTTATGGAAGTAGCAGTCAAGTTCACCTCTCTTCCTTCTTAGTCTGTCTTAGTCTGGAAGCTCAGCTGAAACCATCCACCATGGGTGACCCTGACAGTATTTAAAATACAAGTGTCATAGCTTCCAGAATCACAGCAACAAGCAAGCCTTTACAACATTTTGTAGTGCTTAACACAGCTTAATTTATTAATTTGTTAACACATGTCAGTACGACAAACTGACAATTTTTAGAAGGCTACAATTCCAAATTCAGAGTGCCCATTCTTTGTTGTTGTTGTTAAGTGCCGTTGAGTCGATCCTGACCCATAGCAACCCTATAGAGGGTTTCCAAAGAGTGGCTGGTGAGCTTGAACCACCGACCTTGCAGTTTAAACGGCTTTGCAGTCTGGCGCATTAACCCATTTAGGAAAGCTTTTTCTGTCAGCTCTGGAGGATAGTTCTTGTCTCCTTTTAGCATCTGTAGCCTTATCACTCTTTGGCATTCTCCATGTGTCTTGACATCAACCTTTCTCTGAGTCTAGGAATTTCACAGTACAGGGGCCCAGGTCCAAAGGATGCACTCCACTCCTGGTTCTTCTTTCTTGGTGGTTGTATCTCTCCTTTTAACTCTAGTAAGATAACAGGTATTGCATA